TCCATCCATCCATCCATCCATTCATTCATTCTTTTTTCCACATTTTTTTAAATTGGTGCATTACAGTTGTATATAATGGTGGGATTCATTGTTACATATTCGTACATGCATGCATTCATTCTGTACTAAATGCACCAACTACTCACACAGTATTTGGTTCAGGGACTGCATTTAGTAAAACTGTATTGAAGCTGGGTGCAGCAGTACACATCCTGTAATTCCAGCAATTCAAGCTGGAGACTGAGGCAGGAGGATCGCAGGTTGAAAGCCAGCCTCAGCAACTTAGTGAGGTCCTAAGCAACTTAGCAAGACCATGTCTCAAAAAAAAAAAAAAAAAAAAAAAAAAAAAGCAGGGGGAAGCTGGGGGGAAAATAAAGGTTGAGTTATGGAGCTATGCTCCCAAGGAAGAGAGCTCAAGAGTTGCCTTTTCTTCTTGCCTTCCCTTTCTGATCTACATTGCTACTTGGGCTTAGAGAGGATCCATGAACTTGGATGACAAAATACATTTTGTTTCATTCATTGAACTAAAATTTAGCATTCTCTTCAATTATGAACCACAACAGCATTAATAGTACTTGCGGTTTTGAAATCCTAGATATCTTTTATATCATGCTGCCGTTATTAAAAACATCTCAAAATATAATTTGTACTGGTCAAAACTTTGAAACGACTTTAGCTAATTAGACCCGTGGCTAGATCTTGTTATTTATTGCATTGGTAAAGAAATATATATTACTATATCAAAAAAGTTTATGTATTTGGTATTTTGGTAACTATTCCAATGTAACTGATTTTCTTTTAATACTATGCATTTTATTTTATGTGTTTAAAACATTCTGAGGCCCCTTTGCGGTAACTCATGCCTGTAAATTCAGCTACTGGGGAGACTGAGGCAGGAGGATTGCAAATTCGAGGCCAGCAACTTAGGGAGACTCCATCAAACCAAAGGGGCTGGGCACGTGGCTTTGTGTTTAATGGCCCCTGGGTTCATTCCCAGGACTAAAAAACAAAAATATTCTGAGAAGTCCATAGGCTTCACAGCCCTGCCACAGCAAGTCACAGCACACAGAGGAGACCAGCCCCTGGTGGGACTGGGGGCTGTTCAGAGTAATTTGGGGAAAAGCCCACTTGGAAAGAGACCTTCAAAGGGTTGGGAAAAGACTCTGGATGGTGTGAGATGAGATGCTGCCCTCTAGTGGCCCAAAGGCAGAACTGTGAGACCGCCTGAGCAGCAGGCCCTGGGTCGTGGGGCAGGGAAGGTGTTGGTGAAATTTCTCTGTACTTGCGTCTGAAATATGAGATCCCTGCTTATCTCTCCAGCTCACCATTTGAAACTCTCTCCCTCTACTCTGGTCCCAGCCGCTTTCCTTGTCTAGTGTGTCTGAAGCTTCCTTCTGCACTCAGGTGTTTGTCCCCTGCTCTCCCTGTCTGGTGGTGTCCCCCACCTCTTCATCTGGATGCCTACCTCCCTTCAGGTCTCAGAGAGTCTAATCAGGTTCTCGAGAGTTCTTGGGCAGACCTGAGCTAGTCTCCTTCCCAGACCTTTCTCAGTATGTGACACATGATCCCCAGTGTGGGGTTTCTTTTCTTTTGTCCAATGTCCACCCCTGGGCTAGACTGTAACCCCGCAGGGTCAGGGACTGTTTGCTTTGTTCTCTGTACTATTCTCCACGCCTGCTCAGCGGCACTCAGTCAACACTTATTGATGAAGGGTGCATTTTATTTATTCATTTATTCATTTGGTTTTTGCATTACTGGGGACTGAACCCAGGGGTGCTCCTACCACTCAGCTACCTCCCCAGCCCTTTTCATTTTTTAAGACAGGGCCTCATTAAGTTGCTGAGTCTGGCTTTGATTTACAATCCTCCAGCCTCCTGAGATGCTGGGATTACAGGTTATTTTTTTATTTTAAGACAGGGTCTTGCTAAATTGCTTAGGGCCTCACTGAGTTGCTGAGGCTGGCTTTGAACTTGTGATTCTCCTGCTTCAGCCTCCCAAATTGCTGGGATTAGAGGCATGTGCCACCTGGTGAGAAGGTCTCTTTTGATTTGCAACAGCCTATCTGCCCCTAAACCTCCTCCATGCCCTAGTAACCAGGTAATAGTAGGATCTTCACAGGTAGAAACTGTTTGACCACCCAGACCAACTGGGCAGACAGGTGGCTGGTGGTCAGAGCCTGTCCTTGATGCTTCCTCACTGGTGACCCCAGCGTTTCTGTGCCTTGGTTCCTCATCTGTAAAGTGGTGGAAATAAGAGTGCCTCTGGCACAGAGAGGTGAGGAGCACTAGGTGAGGTGATGTAGGGAAAGCTTCTACCACATATTATTGATTAAATGGCAGCGTAAAGACAAAGAGGCGCCCGAGTCTGAAGGACAGTAGGTAGACTCTTGTTTCTCTCTTATGAAGCCCTGGATATGGAAATCATGGAAGCTGCTAAGAAGCAAAACTGAAAGGTAGAGGATTCCTCCTCATAGTGTGGGTAGCCCGTCCCGTGCGTCTTGTCTCCTCCCCCGATGTGGTCTCTTTCTGTAGAGGGCTCCAAGGTCCTCAGCTTTACTTACTGTCCTCTGAGACAGGCTGCAGTCATTGTTACGGTTTCTCTCTGGTCATCCCACACACTCACATTCCTGCCTAACTCTGGCTTCAGAAAATTACAGTCCAGTGGACTTCAGCTCAGGATGGAGTTGTGGCATTCAAATGTACTTGGCAAAGAATTTGGTATATATTAGTGCTTAGGAAATATGAGTTATTTCTCTATTAGAAAATAGTGAATTGTTGGGCTGGGATTGTGGCTCAGCGGTAGCGCACATACCTTGCATGTGTGAGACACTGGGTTCGATTCTGCACCACTTATAAATAAACAAAGATCTACCAACAACTAAGGAAAAAATATTTAAAAAAGAAAATAGTGAATTGGCCTGACAGTGAAAGCAGAGTCTGCCCTCCTTACTTATATGACTTTTTTTTTTTTTTTTAAGAGTCTAGCACAACATCTGGCATCTAAAAGCCATTAAGAAAATATGCATTGAGAGGATGAAGGTTTTGCTATGCTTGGCTGCCCTCAGTTCTGCAGAGTAGCCACTAGAGGGCAGCAGCAGTTAAGACAACAATACCCAGGACCACCAGATCTGGAATACTGGGTGGAAGGAGAAAAATGCTAAAATGACTAAAAAAATTAACTTGCTTTTTAGCTTTTGGGTACCAAAGGAAGGGGAATGTGTAGATAGTAGGGCTGATGTTAGACTTAAAGAAGAACTTCCAGAATACAAAGTTTGTTAACTAGAGTTTTTTATACAGGCTATTTTTTTTTTAACCTTATCAGAATCTGCCCCAAACAGAACAGATAAAAAAGAGCTCATCCAGTCCAAGACCTATGTGACTCCACTAGGTTCCCCTAAGATAAACACTTAGTCTACCTCCAATGACTCCATCCTTGCAGATGCAATCGTAAAATAACTTTATTGGTCAGGTTGGTCACCACTCATGCTTTTCCTGTAACAAGGATCCTTTATAGGGACATGATGGTGTCCACATGCAGATGCTTTCTGGAGAGCCCTGGGGCAGGGGGCAGCCTTGTCCTCACATCAGAGATCCCTGGCTGAAATGAGCTGGTTTGGCTTTTGTGGATTTCAGGGTCTGGAGCTAAGAACATGGTCCAAGCATCCCCCTTCCCTTTCCAGGGAAGCAGCTCCCAAGCATACACAGAATCAGGGATGTAACGATATCTTAGTGGGGGTCCGACTCAGGCTAATGCTTCTTAACTGGTATTTGCCTCTGGCTGCCCAAATGGCTGTATCCCAATGTGCCCTTAAAAGCAGGTGGGTGAGGCCCAAGCAACGTGACCTTTCAGAGATGGGAAGAATTAATTGCTTTCCAGCCAAGCTGTGAAGCAACAGGCATCTTCTGTAATGAGGGCACAGCTCAGAGATGCGAAAGCAGAAGGGTTCGTGCCCAGCACGGGCCATGTTTGGAGGTAGCCCTGGGCTTCAGGGACCACACTGAGCATCTCCAGCAGTGCTGGTGCTTTTGACTCTGGCCTTGGGACAAATCAGTTAATACAGATCAACCACATCCTCCTGGCAGCAGGCAAGTCCAGGGTTGGTTGGAAGACTCCCATCAGTATATAAAACCTCCCTGCTTGGATCAAAGTAGAGCTCAGTTAGCTTTATGGAGCTTTGAAAACCACATGGCCTCCACCATTGAGGATAAATATCCAAGCAGGGATGCAGAGAGGGGGCCAGAATGAAAGTGCTGGGTCTGCCCCTCAGTTCAGCCAATTTGCGGTGCATTTGTCCCTGGTATGGATGATGATGATAATCAGTCTGGCCTTTCCTCCTTTGAAATCTGATCTGACTGTAAAGAGCTGCTCAGCTACTAAAATATAGCTCAGTACGTTTATCTAAGCCGGAGGTTACTGTATCCCCTGGCATTAGGTCATGATGCTATCATGATGGCAGTGACCTTGGTCTGGTGGCTTTCCAAAGGGTGAGGCTGGAAAGCATAGAAGTGACTCTCGGTATCCATTCAACCTCAGACAAGTGTGGCTCTCTCCACAGGTTGCTGGGCAGATGCCCACAAGCCTCGGAGTCTCCTGAGGCACAGAGGAGGCATCTGTGAAGGAGGGTGAGTGGATGAGGTGGAGTTTGGAGGGGGGGCTGGGCAAGAGGTATATTTTGAGGAGCAATGAATGGGAGCCCCGAGTAACTGCGTAGCTGGTCTAAGCACATACAGAGGTCTGTCAAGTGCTGCTCCCAGAGAGTCAGACTGTTGGGCCCAAGCAACTTTTGAAGTTCCACAACATCAGGTCATCAGAGAGACTCAAGAGGAGTGAGACTATTTTGGGTTTGGAACTTCCAGGGACTACTCCCCCTGCTGCCCCTTTTGTCCCTAGAGACCCGAAAGCTTCTACCTAGGTCCTCAGCAGAAGCCTGCCTGCCGCCTCCCCATCCCACTACCTGCTGCCTACAGGGAAGAAGACTAAAGAGGAGCCCGTGGACTTCTGTCACATGTTTGTCCCAGACCTTCCAGCAAAAGCCAAACCAAACCATCAAGCCAAATGCAGTGGGGGACGTGGGGACTGTACACCCAGGGCCCAGCGCGAGGGCCACTCAGATCTCGATGAGGCTGGCGAGGCGCAGGCAGAGCGGTGCGTCCACGGGCATCGCGCTGCGCTTGATCTCGTTGCCGTCCAGGCGCAGCACCTGCAGCTTGGAGAAGTTCATGACGTCCACCACGGTGCAGAAGCTGCTGATGGAGAACTCTGGGGGAACAAGAGGGGTGGGGCAGCCCGGGTCAGGGACAGGATGTGCGGTGAGGTTAGAAGGCTTCTTTGAAGCTTCTCAGATAAGACTTCTGACGCAAGGGGTGGAACTTGGTTGGGGAGAGGGTGGGCGTTTCCCAGTCTTGGAGTCCTATCAACCTGCACCATTAGAGGACGGAACTAGGGACAGAGCTGGGGGCAGGGAGCTATGTCTGCTTCTGCAGATCAGCCACCTACGGCCCCCCACCCCCAACCCCTAGTCTGTACTTTTCAGGCCCTCTATGTCCTTGAGTGTCCTTCCTGCCAGGGCTTTTATTTTATTTTTTCCCCCTCCTATCTGTGGGCAGCAGGGGGCAGCAAAGACCAAAGAAGTAGCCAAAGACCAGCTGCAGCCACTCTGAGGTTCCTGATGGCTTTTGGAGAGGGAGGGCTGTCCTGAATTGCTCTGAGAAGGAAGACTGAGGAAATGGAAGGACTTAAATCTTAAATAGCTCCTTCCACTTTGCAGATAGAGAAAGTGGCAGGAAATTAAAGAAATGAAATCCTGGGCTGAGAGACACGTGTCTGGTGCCAGAGCTTGGAGGAGATCACACATCTCCATTCTGTTACTGCCAGAGGGTGAGCCAGGTTAAGGTTCAAGAGGGCGGTGAACTCCAGCGCGCCTGCTGCTGTGGACCTCAAAGTCAAAGCACCTGCCTCTGCGCTCAGTAAGATTACAAGCCACCTCTTCTTTTCATCTTGAAAGTACCCTTTGTCAGGATTTACCCCCCAAAGCATGATATATATATATATATATATATATATATATATATATATATATATATAAAACCAGGGATTGAGCCCAGGGGCACTTAACCCCTGAGGGAAGCCACTTCCCCAGCCCCTTTTTATATTTAGAGATAGAGTCTCACTGAATTTCTTAACCCTGCGCTAAGTTGCTGAGGCTGGTTTTGAATCCGTGATCTTCCTGCCTCAGCCTCCTGAGCCACTGGGATTACAGGCGTGCACCATCGTGCCTGGCGATAGTTCTGTTTTTAACAATTCTTTCCACAACCTGGCTCCGGCTGTCCTCTGGTGGATAAGCTAGTTCTTCCTCAGGTTGTCCTGCTGGATGGATAGCCACCTCTGTCTCCAGTCTACTGAGCCAGTAACTCGAAAGGAACAAGGCAAGAACTCAGAACAGCAACAGGGACAACAGAAGTCCCCGGGAATGCAGCCAGCACCTCTAAGGGCCAACTTCAGTGTGGTGGGTGAGGGTCAGGAGACTGTTCTGTCCTCTGCAAAGGGGGATTGGGTGAAGTCACCCAAGGGGTCTGGGCAGGTGACATGGGCACAGACTGGGAGTCGGGGGCTTCCCTCAGCTTGCAAAGGTGTCAGGAGCCGCATGTCAGTCTGGAGCCAGCAGAGGAGGAGCTGGAGGAAGGCTTTTGTAATCCTCTTCCTCGGGGCAAACTTGGGGGCTCCTCTTGGTGGCCGTTATGGGTGGGAAAGGAAGATTTCAAGGAAGATGGTATGGTGACAGCAGGCTGAGGAGGAAAGTGGGTCTTTCTTTCTTTTTTGGTATTGGGGATTGAACCCAGAGGTGCTTTACTACTGAGTCACATTCCCAGCCCTTTTCATTCTTTATTTTCAGACAGGGACTCCCTAAGTTGCTTAGGGCCTTGCTAAATTGCTGAGGCTGGCCTTGAACTTGTGACCCTCCTGCCTCAGCCTCCTGGGTTGCTGGGATTATTGGCTACCCTAGAGTGATGCCAAAGAATTTTTAATCATCCCTTTATAAGACAAATTGCAAAATAAGTATCACCAGGCCTAGCTTGTAAGAAAGCTTTTTTTGTTTGTTTGTTTTTGAGACAGGGTCTCACTACATTGCTTAGGGCCTTGCTCAGTTGCTGAAGCTGGCCTTGAACTTGCAATCCTCCTGTCTCAGTCTCCCAAGCTGCTGGGATTACAGAAGAAAAGTGTTTTTAAATGAGCACAGTCAACTGTTCCTGGCCTCTGTTAAGAACTGACCAAGATGAGCTGGGAATTTGTACCAAATGAACTTGTACCACAAACATAAGACAGACAACCCAGGCCCAAAGAAAAATCAGATGCTGGGAACCATGGAGGAGACTAGGAAATACCCTTCCCAGAGGGGCAGGAGATCTGGAATACTTTTGGGATGCTTCCTTTTTGGATGCAGGGAAGAGACTAAGGGGGAAAGCAGGCAGAGTCTGGGTTGCCCCTGGGTCTATGTTGTCTGTTTACAGGGGTGTGTGTGTGGGGGGGTGAACCCAGCTAAAACATCCCTTCCAGTTCTATTTGGGGCTGAGCTGGTGGCTCAGTGATATTCTTTCCCAGCCTGGAGCCCTCAGACTGTCTGCTAAAATCCTGGATTCCAGCTGTGGGTACATAAATACGGGACATACTTGTGGGGAGCTAGACACCCAGTATAATAGAGTCTCGCCACACTCTGGGCACTGGGAGCCCCCCTCTATCTTCCCCAAGCCATGAATAGGACAGGGCTTCTGCGAGCAGGCCCTGGTAGACATTTTCCAGCTCAGATTAAATACTGACATAAGTCTTTCCAAATTCCTCCTGGTGTACTCTCCCTGCTCCCCTGGTTCCCAGAGCTTCCGAAAAACATTTTGAGCTGTGTTTCCTTGCGGTTGCCAGGCTGGAAAAAGTGAGGGAGATAGTGGTGGGAGGGAGTGGGGAGGGGAGGACCCTGTTTTATTTCCTGCAGCCTTTGAGTTCTTTAAACTCTCCCTCAGAGAGCTACTTTGATCTCACTGTCACCACCCCAAGTCCCTGGCTGGCTGTGCAGGGAGATATCCTTCATATTCCCCTAGGAGAGGGGGGGCCAGCTTGGGGACCTGGCTTCCTGTTCATGGTCTTGGATCAGAGTGAGATTCCTCCCATTCTCAGTCAAGGTTGTCTGGCTGGACGTCCTTTGATATGGAAGGTAGGAATTCAAGGTCCTATTCTATGCAATCTGGCTGATCTTGAGAGATGAGTTTCCTTCTCTGTGCCTCAGTTTCCCCATGTTTGCAATGCAAAAAGCAACAACAAAAACTGTACCTGTCAACTTCCAAGTAGCAAAAAGAAAAGCTAACAACAGTTACTATGTATTGGTTTAAATTATGTGCTAGGTTCTAGATCAAGCATTTTACGTATATCAATTTACTAATTTCAGAAAGATGAGCCAAGTTTGGGTATAGTGGCTCATACCTGTGATCCCAGCAACCTGGGAGTCTGAGGCAGGAAGATCACAAGTTCAAGGACAGTCTGAGCAATTTAGTGAGACCCTGTCTCAAAATAAAACTTAAAGAGGGGCTGAGGTTGGGTGTGGCACATGCCTGTAACCCCAGGATCAAAGTTTGAGGCCAGCCTCTGCAATTTAGCAAGGCCCTATCTCAAACAAACAAACAAACAAAAAAAAAAAAACAAAAAAAAAATTAAAGATTTAGGCATGAGTCACTTTGTTTATAGGAACAACAGTAAACAATAACTAGTAAAGGAGAGTAAGCTCAAATTGCACAAAAAGAGACTTGGGATAAATGCTGAAAATTTTAGGTTGTCTAAAAGGAGAAATTACTTTCTTGTTTTGGGTAATGGAGATTGAACTCAGGGCCACTTAACCACTGAGCCACATCCCCAGCCCATTTTAAATTTTTTATTTTGAGACAGAATCTCACTAAGTTGCCTAGGGCCTTGCTAAACTGCTGGGGCTGGCCTCAAACTTGCAATCCTCCTGCCTCAGCCTCCTGAGTCACTGGGACTACAGGCATGCGCCACCATGCCCAGCTGAATGAGGGGACTTGCTTGTAGGGCCTTAGGGACAGTCATTAAGTAATTTTATATTCTAACAAGCGTTGGGAAAGGCAGACCATCTTATATTTCAGTGGCAGATGTGATTCTGCATGAAGGTAGAGAGGTGACAGGATGCTGTGACAAAGTCTTCCCTACTCCACCTTTCTCTAATTGTATGGTTAGGCACTAATTGGTTCTTTCTCAGGACAGCTGCTCTTTGATGTCACATTTTCGGTGTCAAACTTAGATGAAGTACAGCATACAGTGTGACATTTGTGATGTGACATCCTTCCTGGATCCAGAAAGGGAGGCAGGTAAGCAGTGGCAATTGCTGGGGAGGATGTGAAGGCGGCAAAACTGCGCATGCGCACCTTCTAGATAACGTAAAGAACCCGGCCCTTGGTCAGAGCCGGGAATGTGGATGGAGTAAGAAGCCCCCAGAGAAAGAGAGACCATTATTTCCCCCCTAAATAAAAACCAGTTTGGAATGTGCATGATGGTGTCTAGCACTTCAAACTAACTAAAGGACCAGACGGACAGCTCTTCACTTTGCCTGCTCGGCTGCCACCTCCCTTACTGCCCCCTGAGGCGGGAGTCTCCCCTGAGGACTGTCCAGCCCTTCACATCTCGCTGAATGATTGATCTGTTCTGCGAGCGCAGGGGGAGAAAGGGGTGCGAGGGAGAGGCCCACTCTTCTTTCTCTGAACTTTGATGGTGCTGTTCCCTCTCAGCAGGCTCTACTTCAAAGCCCTCTGCCAGTGGTCATTAATGAGTCCCCCGCTTTACGAGAGCAGAGGGCTTTGCTGAGAGGGAGGGAGGTTAAATGCTGGCTCAGTACCTTCCAGCTGAGATGAAGACATCAGAGGCCCTGGGGTAATGTAAGCACTTGGGAAAGGGAGGGAGATGGTAAGAGGAAGGGAGCCCAAAGGCAACTGGATAATTCAATTGGAAATGAATATTTTAGTTCTCGCAGGTAGAAAGGCAGCCTTTTTGCTGTCCTTAGGCATTTGCAGAGAAGTGTTTATAAACCAAGCACTGTCCTCTGCCCCCCAGGCTCTGCAGTGGTCAGCCTCATGTTATCCTGGGGAGGACCTCTGCCCTGCCACCAGGGGCTCCTTGGACTCCGGGAAGAACTGGCCAGAACAAGTGCCACATTCAGCTCTGTCCACCAGCTGTTAGATTTAAAAAACAAACACCAAAACAGGAGTCCCCGTCTGTGGCGGCAACAGTGAGTCAAGGGGAAACACAGCCTGCCCTCTTCTGGTGGGGGAGACAGGCAGGCAATGGGGGTTCTTGGCAGCCAATTGCTCTCCCGAGGTGGACACTGGAAGTCAACCTTAGGTCTCCTTCTCTATGAACGGTCCCCCTCCCAACCTCTCCCAACTCATCTCTCACTGCTCCTGAATCTATGACCCCTTCCTTTCAGGAGGGCATTTCTGGCTGTCCCCTACAGATACTTGTTAAATGACTGGTACTGGTTCCTTCCCAGAATAGCTTTGTCCTGCCTTTCTCCAACATTTGCCCACAGACCTCTCCACCCCTAGCTGAAATGTGCCTCTCCTGGGAGGCCATCTTCTGCCCCACCTGCTCCCCACTGCAAGATCTTGGTGCTGTTGTTGAGGATGAGTGTACTATTTTGCATGTATTTTTGCAGGGCTATGACTTGGTTTTCGGGTTGCTTCATTGCTACTGGTTGGTTCCCCTGGGCCTATTTTATTTGCATGCCACAATCACTCAGAATAGGTCTTTCCAGTGAAGTGGCCGCACAGCCCCTCCCCCCAAGTCTCACCGTTGATCCTGTTGCCTTGGAGGTAGAGGTTCTCCAGGTTGGTGTTGACCGGGGGGATCTTCTGCAGCTGGTTGTAGGAGAGGTCGAGCTCAAGGAGGCTGCTGGAATTGAAGGTGTTGGTGGCCAGGCCACTGTTGGTGAGACTGTTGTGAGATAGCCGCACATAGAGCAGCTTGGGTGATCCCCGGAAGTAGCTATCGGGGACAGTGAAGACGTTGTTGTGCTCCAGGTACAGCTGCTCAAGGGCTGAGGGCAGTCCATCGGGCACCCTCCGGAGGTGGTTGTAACTCAGGTCCAGCAAGATCAGGGACTGGAGACCCCGCATAGAACTGCCCACCTCCTGGATCTCGTTGTGTTGGAGGTACAAGGCCGTGAGGTTCTCCAGTCCCTCCAGAGCGTTGTTGGGGACCCGTGAGATCTGGTTGTGGTCAAGATGGAGCTCCCTCAGAGATCGAGGCAGCGGACCTGGCATCCGGGTCAGGTTGTTGTGATCCAGGTACAGCCTCTCCAGGTGCTTCAGCTTGGAGAACACCCTCCTGCCCACCTTATCACTGGTGATCTGGTTGCCATGGAGAGCAATCCAGAGCAGGCCAGTGGCATTGTCAAAGACACCTTCCTGGATGGAGGAGATCTGATTGTTCTGGAAGTAGACGTACTTCATGCGGGAAGGCACGAAGGGCAGGTACTTGAGGTTGCGGTTGTCACAGTACATGGCCGTGGGGAAGTTGGGGGGACAGTCGCATTCCTGGGGGCAGTCACGGGGCTCTGGTGGGGATGGAGAGCCATAGGCATAGGCTGGACCTTCCTCCACCCCGTAGGGGTAGGGGTAGGGGTCGGAGGGTTCGTAAGGGTAGGGTTCATAGGGGTCGTAGTAGGTGGACTGCTGGCTGCGCAGGTACTGGAACCACCAGTGGGAGTCTTCATCATACTGAGCCCCGGAGAGCGAGCAGAGCCCTGCCAGCAGCAGGAGGGAGACCCACTGCATTGTGTCTCTGCGGGAAGGAAGAGAGACAGAGCAAGCAGACGTGAGTGAGACCGAAGGGAGGCAGCGGGGCACGGCAGGCAAGCCACAGGCTCTGAGCTGTGCAGATGTGACCGTAGTGTCAAATGCCCTAGAGTAGGAGCCCTGCTCCTCCTAGGCCCGCTCTGTGCACTTGGTCCAGAATCTGGTTGTCTAGGGTGAGCCAGGTGTATTGCTCCTGGTCATAGAGTCACAGAAACAGACTTTGAGGTTAGAAGGAATGTGAATGGGGGCTGTATTTTTGGGGAGGGGCAGGTCCGCAGGGGCTTCTAGCACCATGAAGTTTCTGCTAGGGAATCTGGAAAGGCCCCAACATTCCATGTGTGGTGTGTGTGTATGTGTGTGTGTGTGTGTGTGTGTGTGTGTGGGTAGGCATGTGCATGCATGTGCAAATGCAGGGGGTCTGTACTCGTTGGCTGCTCTTCAGGCCTGAATCCAGTTTAGACTCTTTGGGGAAATAACATTTCCTAAGAGTCTAAGGAAAATGCCCCCTGGCTCTTTCCATGTCTCTAAGAAACCTCCAGAAGGGGCTGCGACATCAAAGGGGAAGATCTGAACTATTTCTGGAAGATATTTCAGTGTCTGGGACAGGCCAGGGGTTTCTGGTCCTGAACATCTGGGGAGGAGTGTCATCCCACTTCAGCCACCACAAGGCCTGGGCCACCTTCCAAAGTGCCATCGTCAGTCACAGTCTGCTGGGTGAGAAAACTCTCTCTGGTTAGCAGTTTGTGGCCACACATGTAACCTGGACTTTATTTAACAGTTACAAATCCTCTCTAGACTGGGGATACTAGCACCGGGTGTGGCACTTAGGAATGAATGCATGGGGTTGGAGTGAGTTGGCTTCTCTGTCCTCTGTGGTATGGTGCCTAGTGAAGTGTGAGCACGCTTTATGGTCCACTGTGGGGATTATGCAGGAGTGGAGTGAGGTCAACAGAAATGATTGAGGAACACTGGAAATTGGAGTACGGATCAGAGACGTGGGGTATGCCAAGGGAAAGTGACATAGGACAGGGTCTCCTATCCCAAGCTACTTGTTCCAGGTGATGACACCTAGTTTACAGGCTCCATATCCCCCCTCCCCTGGTCTCTGCTGGGCAGCCTGTCATCTTTGGGCTTGTGGGTGAGAACTGGGCAGACTGGGGCGGGGGAAATGTAGGGTCTGGGGTCATCTAAGAGGGGAAATTGAAGGTATGGACAATGAGGGACCAAGGGATAGCACATCAGGCCTGGGTGCGCCCAGCCCAGTTACCTACAGCTAGTGTCCTGCACAGCCTCTGTGGGCCATAGCACCTTCCAGAGTGTTACCCTTGGACAGAGAAAGCTTAGAACCTTTCTTGACTTGGAAGAGTCACATGTATCCCTCAAACCAACCTTGAGCTTTGCTAGGCTTAGCAAGTGTGGACAGGAGAAAGGAGTAGAGCCACCTACTGGCCATCGTTCCTCCCAGACCTCTCTATTCCTGAGGCCTGCTTCATCCCTTCAGCTCCTGGGCCTCAGAGGAATGGGCACTCTGGCTCATCCCGAGGAAGCCGCAGGCCTCAAACAAAGAGCCACAGTGTTTCTGAGAAGTAGACCCAACTGCCCACTGCCTGGGCAGGCTGGCTGGTCCCTGGACCTGGCCCGGAGAGACGACGGATGGAGCGGCCCACTGCCAAGAGCACATTTTTCCATGCACAGTTTTGGGCTGCCCCAAGACCAAGGTGGCTGTCTGGAGGACTGGCACAGTGAGCCTCTGTCTCGTTTCTCCTCCTTCCAGACTGGGCATCTTGGCAGATGAGAGCCACCTTCCTCTTCAAGACCCAGCTTTCCAGGGGCTGTGCATCCTGCCACTTTGGCCTTTCCTTAGATCCCCAGCTGTTGGAAGAGTTTGGAGGACCTTCTGTCTGTCCTCACCCCACCCCATCTCCCAGCGCTGCTGCTTCAGGGTTTATACTCCCACGTTCTTTCTCACAATGCAGGAGACCCTCCTGTGCTCCGAGTTCGTTGGGTACAGTTTCTAGCATTGACACTCTCTGAGTTGGGGGCAGCTGACTCAGGGGCTTCTGCTGTTCTTCCATGTCTCTACCCTGGGGGAGCCTTCTCCCTCCTATCAGAGTTGAGGAAGTCAAACCAGAAGCCGTGCCCTAACCTGGGGAGGTGGGGTCCACCTCACTCCATAGCTCCCTGGACATGGCCTGTTCTTAGTACTTCTCTTTATTCTCTCCCTTTCACCCTAGCAACACACACACACACACACACACACACACACTCACTCTCTCTCTCTCTCTCTCTCTCCACAAAATTTGTCCCCCTCCAACAGCATTTAGGTACCACAACCCCTCTCTAAGCGATGTTTCAGGAACACCCAGGGTCTACCCTCCCAAAGTGCCAAGTCCCAGAGTGGTAGGGTTTATGGAGCAGGGAAGTAGCTTCTGTGGACATCTGGTCCCTCACTTTTTCATGCCAGTGAGTTGGAGATCCTCCACACCCAGAAAGGGGGCTATAGGAAAAAAGCAAAATGCAGGAGCCCATCCCTCCTGTTCCTTTGCCCCTCTGCAGCATCCCTGGGGTCCTGGCCCAGGTGGAGTGGAGTGACTTCCCCCTGCCTACTTATCTCCACTCCTGTCTTTTTCTTTTATTTCTTTCATGGCATAACAACGGAAAAAAACCCAAAGTAAAATGATTCAACTTACCTCTAGTTGAACCTTTCAGAGTGATCAAGTCTCTGTGTCTGGCCTCCTTGGGTTGGAGAAGGTGTGAGAGAGAGAGAGAGAGACAGGGTGGCTACTGAGAGTGTGCGCGCCTGAGCCAGGCCAGGGCCCGCCCCTACATTCCTAATCAAATATCATGGAGAGAGGGGCAGAGGAGCCCGGATTCTGGCTTTTTCAGCTCTGCTGCAGGGGCGGAGCTCACACTCGACCGCGGCAAAATCTTTCTGTCCGCCTGACGCTATAAAAACCACCTCCTTTCCACTCACTTATCTTCCCTGAAGCATTGGCAGCCCTGGGTCTCCTTCTGCTGGATGAGTTAGTGGCGCCCTCGAAGTTATTTGCACAGTCTCTTATGAAGCGCCTGGATTTCTCATTAAGCCCACAAAGGCAGATGCAGGAGGCGAAGGCCTGGCTTTGCAAAGAGGCATCTTAACTCTTTCAGCAGCCCGGGTCCCCCAGCCAGACAGTACTCGCCCTTCTTGGCTCAGGCGCGCCCCCTGTAGGCCAGTGTTGGACTAGTGGACAAGAGAGTATGAGTGAGAACCGGTTCAACCCTACCCAGCCAGTGGGACTTTGCTGAGCTGCGCCCCTACCCCACTCTGCTGTTGGAATACATGGAAAAGTAGGGAGTCCAACATTTCTCCATCATTAACTGTCTACCATGGTCACACACTTTTTCTTAATTGTCACAATCGTTTTATGGGTAGTGACACTTCCTGGGGGTGGTAGTGAGAAGAATCATGAGAGGTAAGGCAGATGAGGCACCCCACCTGGCACCTAGCTGGGGCTCATTCTATGGTGGCGATTATGACTGCCATACCCATTTTAAAATGTAGAGCCAGGGGAAGATTGGGTGAGACAAGTGAGGAGCATCTATACACCATGAAGGGATTTATAGGCCATGAAGGGACTTATAGACCACGAAGAGGATCTAGTTTTTCTGAATGTTTAAAACAACCTGTTTTAAGCAGGGGAAGCAACGGGATCTGGTTTGCATTTTTTTTTTAAACGGGATTTAAACCAGGGGAGATTAACAACTGAGGCATATCTTCAGCCCTTTTTTATTTTAAGACAGGGCCTCATTGGTTTCTAAGGTTGTCCTTGAACTTGAGATCCTCTTGCCTCAGCCTCCTAAGCCAGTGGGATTATAGGCATGTGCCACTGCATGGGGCAATTCCTTATTTTTAATATGAGTAACTGGATGGGTGATGGGTGATAGTACCATTGCCTGACATGGAAAAGATGGGGAGAAGCAGAGTTGGGCAGAAAACCAAAGTTATAGTTTAAATGTGCTAAGGTAGAGATGTCTGTTAGGCATTTCAATGGAGATGCATACGGGGAGCTGGATATATGAATCTGAACTTGGCATTGAGGCATTGACATTTGAGAACCATTAGAATTTGGATCACATAGAATCTTGGTACCTTAGATGACCCAATGTCCTAAATGCTCCCCCTCAATCCTTAAGTAAACACCCTTTATTTAAATAACTACCAATTGAGATACCCTCAAGTGATTTGACTTTGAAGACTTTAGAAGGGTCAAGGTAGATGGTACTTTGGGTTGCTGCACTAGGTGTGAGTTGTTGATATGATATGTAGACTTTCAGAAAGGTCCTGGCCAGGGACCTACTCTCACAAGGAGATAAGAAGAGTTTTCTGAAAAGATGAAACATAATAAATAAGGCTTTACTGACCACCTTCTGGAATCTGGGTGATTTACTTCATGTTTTCCCATATAGTGAACTCAGTAGTTATTTTGCATTGGAAATAGGGGCTCAGTGATATGAGGGTGAGGGGTAGAACAAGGATTTGAACTTTGGTCTGCATGACTCCAAAGTCCACACACTTTCCTATAACTCTAGACTACAAAGTGGGCGGGGTAGGGGGGGTGATGACTATCCTGCTATCAGGGGTGGAACTTCACTAAGATAACCCTCAACTAATGATTGAGGCTTGAGCTGCTCCAAGTGTGGGGGGTATAAAGCTGAGAGGGGACTGGAATACAGGGATCCATTCCTGGCCTTCCACACATTTCATTTCAATTTAATAAAGAAGAGCAACTATCCTGTGTCAGGCAAGGTCCTAAGCGTTAGGGACACCGGGCTTCAATATAATGCCTGCTCATCATGAAGCAGGCGTACAAGCAGCAAGCTTCGAACTCAAAGAGTAAAGTGAAGAACTTCATTATGAAAGTGGTTATGAACAATGAGGACAAATTTCTCATCATTTTGACAATTGTGTCTGGTGGACACTTCTTAGATGGGCCCAGATAGCCTGGTCAAACCCATCCATTGAGTAAGGATGTTTATTTTCATTAATATTTTTTAAAAATTCCAGCATGCTGAGTAATACTGCATAGACTAACAATAAAAGTCAGTAGAGTTTGGGGACCAAATATTGACTGGGATCCTGTCCAACCAAGCTCCACCAAAACAGGCGATGTCTCCATATGGAGTCATTTGTTGATCATTTCTTAAGTAGTGAGATTTGTACCAGGTCTTTTCTTGTTCATCCTACTTCGAGGTAGCCTGGGAGAAGGAAGTCTGGAGGGGACGATAAGGACCAGGTCAGGAGGCACTTCCAGGCAACCATCACTGTTAAAAGTTCCTTTTTCTGACTTCCAGAGGAGGTTCTAACGTCCATTTTGAGTCCTGCTGCTCTGTTTCCTTGGCTCTAGAATCTAGGTCCTCAGAGTTTGGCTTTAATGTGGGAACGAAATGTGGGATACAGATGTCCCCCAGATTGTCAAGGAAGTCCACATGTGTAGAAGGTCCATTTGGGACACGGGTGCTTTCTGGGAGGTGTCAAGCCAGCGCTGTTCGGTCACTAAGGTGCAAGCAAACTAAAGAGAGAGGCCATGTTATTCATTTCTGCACCCACTCTGCCCAGCTGGGGATTGCCTGGCACCTTGTTGGCAGTCAGTAAAGGGTCATGACATGACTTGTATTTTTGGCTCCCAATAGAGTCTGTCTGTGTTCAGTAATCTATGCTGGGTGGAGAGTAACCACTACCAACCAGGCCAGGAAACCCTTAGGCCTTCAGGCCAATTAGACTTTCCAGGGGTTCAGGCCACTGCTATTTCCTCTTTACCCAGAAAAGTGCAGGTTAAGCCACAACCACCAGGCAAAAGAGATTGCCTCTGACGTTGGACCCACCCAGTCTGGGAGCAATGGAGCGCCTCTGACTCAAGTTCCCACCGGCAAAGACACAGTGACGCTCCTGTGGCCACCAATTCCTTCCTCTACCCCCCCCCCCCAAACCTTTGTTTATGACATAGGCTTTGATCTTGGATAGCCCAGGGATGGAGTAAGAATTCTTGAGTTGGTATAAAGAGGTCAGTTGAGAGATCATGGTAATACAATCCAGCCCTTGCTGCTGGCCCATCCTGAGAACTCTTGACGCCAGAGAGGGATTTTTAACTAGTCTGATATTTCAATGGAAAGTCTTGGTGACACTGGCACCCAACAATGGTCTCCCAAAGTTTCCAAGAGAAATGTTTTTCCCTATCCCCTTGGCATTGAGGGGTCATTAGAAGTCCTTATGGTGGACAGTCTCCTTTTTCCAGAAGGATGAGAGCCACGAAGATGCTGGATTCAAGACTTGTTTTCATTCAATGGTAAAAGTAGGGCGACCTCAAGTTCTGAGTTCTCGGAGATGGATGGAGGGCTTCAGAACTTCCTTTTAATAACCAGTGTCACAATAAGACAGAGAACCCCCTTTGTCTCTTACTAGGCAGCTTATCTTATTTTACTGTGTGTTTACTGCAAACTTGCTGTTGTTGACATGAGGATGGCGAGATGAATTCTGGAAAGCCACCTTCTGGAAAGCGTGAGTGGATCTGAGATGGCACAGGGGTTTGTGCAGGGAGAGACAGCTGAATAAGGAAGGAGGGAGAGGGGAGAGCGGAAAACCTGAAGCCTGGCGCCTTTGGTCCTTCAGTGACCCAATACATGGTAATCACCTTTGTTCTAGAAATGAGCCAGGAACTAATGTGTCCCTCAGAATGTGCTGGGGCTGTTGAAGAGAACCAATGGAAGACAGAGCAGTTCCCAAGAAGCTTCCAGAGAAATCACACGAGACCAGACCAGCTGTGAGTCCTAAACTACCAACTCTCACTTCTGAGATTCTCACCACACCCCTTAAAGGTGTTGTCAATACCTTATTGGAAACTGAAGTTCAGAAAGGCTCATTAATTTTGGCAAGATTGCATGTAATTAAGTGACAGAGCTAGGATTACAAGCTTAAGTCTGCTTCCTTCTAGAGTCTCAGTTGCTAACCAGTGTGCTATATATGGAATCTCCAGTGTAAATGAGAGAAAAAGTGTTTGGACCTAGGTGTATGTTCAAAGCTCAGCTCTACCACTTACTGCCTCTGTGACGTTGGGCTAATTACTTATAAACATCAGTGAGACTCAGTGTCCTCATTCATAAAATGGGGGACAATAACCTTAACCTCATGAGCTGTTGGGAAAACTTACTGAGTAAAGAAAATAGGCTCTTAGTATGGAGCCTGCCAAGTGGTGGCCTTCAATTAATTATTATAGGAAATTGTTAGCTTCCTGGGGAAGGGTGGCAATATCATTGTGCTTCCAAACATTTTAAAAAGAGCTGTATTAGGCCTTTTCTAATCATTATTTAAATAAAGATAAAGAATGAAAGATAAAGCTGGGTGTGGTGGTACTTGCGTGTCATCTGAGCTACTCAGGAGGCTGAGGTAGGAGGACAGCCTCAGCAACTTAGTGAGGTCCTCAGAAACATAGTGAAACCCTGTCAAAATAAAAAGGGTTGGCAGTGTAGCTCACTGGTAAAGCACCCTTGAGTTAAATTCCCAGCACCCCAAAAAATATCAAGTTTGGGGCTGGGGATGTAGATCTGTGGAGTGCCTTTGCCTAGCATGCATGAGGACCTGGGTTCAATCCCCAGCCATGAAAAGAAAGAAAAAAAGAAAGGGAATCAAGTTTGGAGTGGGGAGAAGGGAGGTTATAAAAACCAACTAAGCAGTAGATTTGAATCCTCTTGGACTGAAGAAAGAGGTTAGCTCCTACCTGGGGATGGATGGGTATCATTCCTCAAAGCAAGAACCAGTAGCATTTCCCATGGGTCCA